TAGTCTGATGAAAAAAGACGCCAAAGTTTATGAAAACAAAATTTTATCGTCAAAATGCTTATGTTTTATGAAGAGGATAGACTAAATTTTTTTTAATTATTTTTAAAATTTTCCCATCTTTTAGAATATTCTAAATTTTGATTTAAAAAACCTTGTTTCTCTTTGTCGCAACAAGGGGTAGTAAATAACATAGATAATTTTTAGCGCGTTTTTTTGTATTTACACATTAATTTGGAAAATCTTGCAAAAATAAAAAATAATTGTCAGATGTTAATGAAACTTTCAGAAACTATTCACATATGATCAAAATTATTATAAATATGTTTTTTTTTTATTAAAGTCATGGCAGAAATATTTTTTTTATATTTATTAACACCCCCATAACTAATTTTATGAAAAACTCTAAATTCGAGACCATCGGTTTTAGTGATTACAATAGTTAAAAGCACAAGGCTTTGAAGAATGCAAATCATGTTTTTTTTGTTTTTTTTTATTTGGCCAACTTACCTGAAAATCAGCTGTGAATTGTAACATACAAAACTCAATAAAACAAATATATTATTTAGTTTCAAATGCTTTTATTTGTTTTAATTTGTTTTTATGAATATGGACAATATTTTCTGAAAGCAAAAAATGTTTTCAATGAAAATTGAATTTTTAATACAATTATTTCTTATTTCTTTAATTTTAAAAAGATTTTAAAAAAAATTTTAAATTGAATTTTAAAAAATATTTTAACATTAGTTAAAAGCAACATCAACCTTTCAAAATGTCCGTGTGAGATTGTCATTGTCTAGCGCTTTGAAAATTGTATAATTTGGACCAATTAGATTAGCCATGGTAATTAAGAAATGTAATTTTGTGTTTATAGTCGGACAGTAATTATCAAGTACGGAAGACCAACCAGAATACAATTTAGTTGCATTATTTGAGTTCAGCATTGTTCTCCGCTGTTAAGCCCTTTACTTTTGCGAAGCACGTGTGGAGAAGTTAATTTGAGTTTTCAATTTCAACTGAGAAGGGTACCTACAAGTAACAGTATCATCTTATGAAATTTAACTACTGCTAAACTTTAATTTATATGATCTTATTTTTATATTAATCTCAGTTATTACATTTTTCCATAAATGAAATATCAAAATTAATAATAAAATGAATGGAAATACAAATAACACAGTAAAATGTAATAAATGTACATAAAATTAAAGTATTTTATGTACACTTCTGATAAAATTTCATAAGAAAGGTACCTAAATTAATTAGATACCTTTTTTTATGAAATTTAATCTATTAACAGTCTTATTTTTTAATTTCTTTATATTTTCCATAAAGCATCGTAAACGTAAAAATGAAAGCTAAGTACAAAAGAATAAAAAATAAAAAATTAGAGCGCTGAAAGTTTTTCTTAAAAGTAACGAGGTAAATAATTTGTTCACTTAAATAATTTCACTTCCTTCCACCCGTAGAAAGAATTATCCTACCGTAAGTTATCTAAACCTCATGAATGTGCCTTTCGTCAATCGTCAAGCGACGCGAAAGGTTATGACCTGTTTGTTTTATTTTCAAATTACATTTTTTCGGCGCAGAAGCTAAGTTAAGCTTGGTTCAAAATATTTTAAATAAACCGTATAATTTCTGTTTTAATTAAAATCAGTTTTGAAAAATGATAATTGATTTTTAAAAGAATATCAAAAGTCAGATTTTAATCTTTTTTATCAAATCGAAAAAATGATTGAAAATGATTATCTGTCCTTTTTTTACCAAAAAAAAATAATATTTTAACGAAAATTTCAGACGTGCTAGGAACGATTAAAAATGTAAAAAATACTCCCAAAATGCTTTGATCTTTCCTCTTTAATAATATGAATATTGGACGATAAAATTTTGTTTTCGTCAAGTTCGGCTTTTTTTTCATCATGCTATGCTCTTTTGTTTACATTTTCGTGGGTGAGTTGTCCCCCTTTCATTCTCACGATGTGTCTTAATTGTGTTTTCAAATTGATTTTGTTAAAAAAACAATTGTTTTTCCCATTTTCGGCGCCGTTAGAACCATCACAAGGTAATTTTATGTAGTCCTGTGAAGTTTTGTTGAAATCGGCCAAAAAATGTAGGAAATTCGATCAAATATACAAACGTTACAGACACACACACACACACACACACACACACACACACACACACACACACACACACACACACACACACACAATCTGCGTTTTATAATAAGTAAGATAACTTTTTTAATCTGCATAATAGCCTTTTAAATAATCATAATAGGTATATGAAAGGTACTCTAAAGTATAAGCTTATAGGAGTTACCAGGTAGCCAATTTCGGCCGACAATCGCGAATTTTAAAACTACATATGCCATATGAGACGCAAGGGAATTTTAAAAGATATTTTTAGTAAAAAAAAGTGCGCCCTATATGTCGTCAAATACGGTAATATATAAAAATATGACGAAACGTACGCTTGCGGAGTGAAGGTACCCTGCGTCAATGGAAGACAACAAGTATTTGACGCATCTGAGTTTTAGGGTCTTCCTCGGTTTGATTCTTGTTTTATAAAACGGATATACATTTATAAAAGCATTATTTGAAAAAGTTAATTCTGGAAAACATTCTAAAATGTTGATTATATAGAATGTAAGAAAAACTCATTTGTAAGTGATTGTATAACCGTTTGGCCAAAAATGATTATTATAATTAAAGAAATAAAATTTTTGCTGTGAAAAATTCTTGAAGAAAACTATTTTGTCTTCAAAATGAAAAAGCTTATAGTTTATACACAAGTTAACTATTGGACCAATCATAAAAAAAAAGTTTTACATATAAGACAGGTGTAAAATATTTATCCGGAAAGACAATAATGATTTCGAGTCTGCGCATCCGTAGTTGATAATATCCCATCAATAACCGTGTAAAAGTTGTTAAAATTATTCTAAGAATAGTCCCAGAGCATATTTTCAAAATATCTCTGTACATTTATTTATAAAAAGGAATTAAGTTTTTCAAAAACAAAATCTTTTTGTGGCATAATTTTTGAAAGAATATTTTAAAAGTATCGCACAATTAAATTGATATTACAGAAAAAAAAAAAAATCTCTAAAAAAATATAAAGAAATTAATTTTTTTTTGTTCCAACCATAGCCCTAGAATAAAAAAAATTTAAATAAAAAAAAAAATTGCAAAAGGGCAACATTTTTATTTTTATTAAATTATTTTCTAAGGCCAAGATATCCTTATCGTTTCCTTTACGATTTTTCATTTCTTTCAGTATTCATTTTTAAAGGACTTATTTTTAAAAATGTAAAACGCCTCGATACACAAATGAAAATTATCAAATAATAAAAGGAGAGGATGCAGTTGCGAAAAAAAAAAAAATCTCTAAAATTTTGAAGAGATTCTTCCTGAAATATATATACAGGAAGTATCAAAAATACTTTTACAAATTTTGGGGGCTAGTTCTTCACATCAAAACAAAGACAAAAATCCATATAAATATATGCCCTCAAATGTTTTGTTTTTGAGTTATTAAGTTTAAAGTTTACGGTCGACGCTGTTAAATGTACAATTCAAGATACAACCCAAAAATACTTTTACAAACATTGTATGTGGGTTCCTGACGCCAAAAAAAAAAAGGTAAAATATCCAAATAAACATATGTCCAAAAGGCCATTGTTCTTCCTCAACACAGCAACTTATAATAAATGTTCAAAATGTCCTCCGCTTGCTTCTACACACACATGCACCCGTCGGATCATTGACTGGTGGACCCTTTCAAATATTTTCATCTTTATATGAACTTTTGTCCTTGTCTTGGTGCGAGGAACCAGCCTCACCAAAGTTTGTAAAAGTATTTTTGTTTGATCCTGTATATATTTTCACTTTTATTTAAATGCCAAAATATTTTGTTGTAATTCAATAAGTAGATGAATTTTGGAAGATTTTAAAACTCGACGTGTTTTGCACCTCCACAAAAAACTCGCTATTTCTCTCAGTCTCTCTTACTTTGCGTATGTCCTTGTGAGTGCTAAATTTTGCAAGCCTTCTTTTCTCATTACGTGCCATAGAAATTTATTTCGGCTGTTGTACTCTCCGGCCTTCTTCTCCAAGTTGTCGTTGGGGACACATGACCCAGTGGATAAAAGCGTTGATTGAAGCAATCCAGTGACTTTACCCAAAGAGATGCGAGTTCAATCCCTGGCCACAGCAGAGGTGGACAAAAACTTGGAGAGTTGAGTAACTAAAGGGGAATAACTGATACTGAGAGATTCAGAAAAGGCATGGCATGTGGAACTAGAACAATCTACCCCGGTGGACAAAATAAAGAGTTCGGTTCGAAATTCCAACATGAAGAAGACCGGAGCGTACAACGGCCGAAACGTCGTGAATATAGCAATAAAGTTGAGTACAATAGTCTGAACAATGTAAATAGTTACAATTCTCAGAAATGATTATTATTAATTATTTATTTAATTGATTGGTTATTCTTATTTTTCTCGAGTTGTGGTTGAAGATTATCACAATTTAATGAAAAACAGCTGTAATCTGTACTGTGTGTTTTAGAAATGCGGCCTTGAACCAAACAAGTTCGGCCATGTTTGTTTATTTCAGGTCAGGTGTTAACTTCAACTCTTCAACTCTTTATTTACACTGGAAAGAAATGTCCTCAGAGAAGCCAAGCTATAATCTCTGGCTTCTACAGCTTTTCTTTCTAGAACGCACCTTCCTGAAATGTATTTACCTCACCAAGTAATCATCTCACCAAAGCGGGGAAGTCATTGCCAATGTTTACTCCCAGAACTACTTAGGCGGGAAACAAGAAAAAAAAAAAAAATAGGTGTCCCGTCATTTTGTTCGAGCGTACATACAAACCATTAGAAAATGAAAAGCGATAATAAATTGACTTTCGTAAAAAAATACTTTCTTTTACTTTTGAAAGCCGTGTTGGCAGTTTTCTTCTTTGTCTATTTAATATCCTTCAACAGCGCGCGTCTGATGTCTAATTTGTTGTTACGGTTTTGGAGGGTAGAAAATCAATCTGTTCATTATCTATCTATCTATCTATCTATCTATCTATCTATCTATCTATCTATCTATCTATCTATCTATCTATCTCAGTCTGTTCTGTTCATCTATCTATCTATTTCTATCTATCTATCTATCTATCTATCTCAGTCTGTTCTGTTCATATCTATCTATCTATCTATCTATCTATCTATCTATCTATCTCAGTCTGTTTCATATCTATCTATCTATCTATCTATCTCAGTCTGTTCTGTTCATATCTATCTATCTCAGTCTGTTCTGTTCATATCTATCTATCTATCTCAGCCTGTTTCTATCTCTGTTCATCTATCTATCTATCTATCTATCTATCTATCTATCTATCTATCTCAGTCTGTTCTGTTCATATCTATCTATCTTCAAGTCTGTTCTGTTCATATCTCGATCTATCTATCTATCTATATCCGCTCTATCTATTTATGTCTAGTCGGTTCTTGTCATATCTATCTATCTATCTATCTATCTATCTATCTATCTATCTATGATGCACAATAAGAGTGCAGTGTCTGTCTGGGGTGAAGTGGGACGTTTTTTACATGATGCTGTATTGTCAAAATCATGAAAATTTAGATACTTATCGAAGATAAAAAATCAGGTTCCTGATGTGAGCATTTTTATGGAATATGTCAGTTATATATATAAATATATTGCAATTGAAAACATCTTTTAGGAGGAGGGACATCCGTCAAATTATATCATTTTATGTCTATCTATCTGAGGTGGTTCTGTTCATATCTTCTATCTATCTATCTATCACATCTGTTCTATCTATCTATCTATCTATCTATCACAGTCTGTTCTGTTCATATCTATCTATCTCAGTCTGTTCTGTTCATATCTATCTATCTATCTATCTATCTATCTATCTCAGTCTGTTCTGTTCATATCTATCTATCTATCTATCTATCTATCTATCTATCTATCTCAGTCGGTTCTGTTCATATCTATCTATCTCAGTCTGTTCTGTTCATATCTATCTATCTATCTATCTATCTATCTATCTATCTATCTCAGTCGGTTCTGTTCATATCTATCTATCTATCTATCTATCTATCTATGTGTCTGTCTGTGACGTTTTTGGTGATGATGCTGTATCAAAAGATGAAAAATTTAGGATACTTATCGAAGATAAACTTAAGGTTTCCTGATGATTCGCTAGTCAGTGTCCAGAGAAGAAAACATCTTTTACCTTGACATCCGTCAAATTATATCATTTTATGTCTATGAGGTGGCGGCGTTATCTATCTATCTATCTATCTATCTATCTATCTATCTATCTATCTATCCATGCACTTGATCATTGCGCAATATTGTTCTATTCTCGGCTGAGGGGTGAAGCTGAACGTTTGAAATGGAATTAGCAACTGCTGATGCGTGAATAAAGTCGTCGGCACCTTTGCTTAGCTGATTGTTCTCTGAAACAGAAAAAAAAAAAATCTGCTATTACACAATCTACCATCATCATGAGGGCTGAATCCTGCTGGGAAAATATTCATTCTTTTACAAAAGAATGATATAAATGACGTTTCTTTATTTGGAGCAAACATTGTCATTAAATCTTCAGAATCTGAAAGAAAATGAAATATTAACCATTTGATACTGAAAATATCATTTGGAGTTTGTTGAAAATATTCCGTCCAAAATCAGTACCTGATGTAATGGAATATATAATATTTTATATGGAATGGCCTTGCGTTGCCCTGTAATTATGCATTATATATATAAATATTTGCCGTGCTGATATTGCAATTGCCTAAACACTAATTATCTGTTACGAAAAAAGAGGAGGAGGGGACTAGAAAGTTAAAAGATTATAATCAATATCTATCTATCTATTTAAGCTATCTATCTATCTATCTATCTATCTATCTGTCTCACGCTCTATCTTCCTGCCTATTCATCTATCTATCGAAATGGTCGCAGTTTGTTCTGTTATTTCACACGATGGTAGTTGGGAAATGCACACTAACTTGGAGCACACACACACACACACACACACACACACACACACAACACAACACACACACACACACACACACACACATCCTTCCTTTTATAAATAGAGATATATTGCAATTGTAAATAATTATCTGGTGAAATAGGAAGTGGGATTAGAATATTATTTCACAAAATTTGACCAAATGACCAAATATCCTAATTTACTTTTGAATTTTTCTTTTCATCACCCACCTCACTTTTTTTTTTAAATTGTAATTTTGCATTTAGGTTGAGACAAAAGTAATTCCGTTTTATGGTAACTATTGTGTCACTGGGTCTACACACATTTACTACATACATTTTATTTACTATTGGATAATAATAGATGTAAAACATGACCAGTGATTACCGGTAGATTGATAGTTCGATACGGGTCATGTGAGGGTGCGTGACCGCCATCTTGAACTCTTTTTTCTTCTCTGTTGTCCTAGAGAGTTCTGATCAAAAGACATAACTCAGTTCTCATCTAGGAAGCGAGTTATCTCCCTTATTTTGATGTTTGTTCGAACGAATGTATTAGCCTAACGAACTGTTTATTAAATATAATATATCAGGTGAAGAAAAATGTTTAACGCTGAAGGATAAATGTCGACAACCGACACCAAAACCTGAGCTCCATAGAAGAAAGGTAATATAGCTGGCTGCCACGAATAGGCAGGAAGATTCTATTGGCCAGCGTGAGAGCCAGTAGCTGGCTGCCACGAATAGGCAGGGAGATTCTATTGGCCAGCGTGAGAGCCAGTAGCTGGCTGCCACCAATGTTAATTAGCATGCTAGCATGCAAAAAAATCGATAGCTGCATTGTGATGGACTCAACAGAGTATTATTTATTATATTTCTTAAAACGCACTGAAAAGCTAGATGTACAGCAGCTGCAACATGGCCGTAGCATTTTGGTTAAAAAGAACCTTGCGCTTTTTGAATAGGAAAAACGTTATTCTCCATGATAATGCAATGCTGCATTCAAGAAAAGTAACGCAGAAAATCATTTTGGAACCTAATCCGCCATATTCTATTGACCTTGTACCAGGCAATTATAGATTTTCGATTTTTATCAGAGTGTTTTTTCACCATGATAATATACAGCATCATATTGCAAGAATGATCAAAGATCTGTAAGGATTGGTTAGAAAAATGATTTATCCACCATATTCAGTAGACTTTTTTTTAAAAAACTGGTAAAACTCCATGCAAGGCAGTAAAGCCACTAAGGTGTTACAGGGTGTGGAAGACTAAGGAACAGAAACATTAATAATGAGCGAGAAGAGAAAAGAGTAATCAGTAGATAGCGATTGACTTTGCATTTAAATTTTGCAGATTAAGGTTGGCTGGAAACCATGGAGCCGGAAGGAAGTTCCACAAGCGAGAAGTGCGAGAAAATAAACTGTTAGCATAGAATTTACTGTTTAATCTAGACAACTCAACTGTAAATTGATGAGATCTCGCCTCCAGATATAGTACTGTGCTTAAATTAAAAAATTCTTGGTACCATAGCGAAGAGGTCATCCGAACAATTACCAATAAAATATTTATAGAAAAAAAACACAGAGAAGCAACGACGGTGGGAAGTGACTGAAGACGAGGCACCAGATCAGGGCCAATAATATTGCTGATTCTTCTTGATTCATCTCTTTCCATTATCATCTGTTTAGAAGTTTGCAAAGCGGTTTTAATGGAGTTAGGCTAACTTTAACGGAATCGGTCGAAAATTCCAGGCTAAAACCTAAAGAGTGCACTTAAAAATTTTTTATAGAGAAGGTCATTGTAAACAATAGTTACTATATTGATAATTGTGGAGTGAGTAGCCATTGATTAAATGTAAAATGAATGAATGGAAGCACTGCCCAACAAACAAATTTGACAAAGCTTGCAATAAACAATTACAAGAAAAAGAAAAGAAAAGAACATGGCAAAAATAATATAAAGCAAGCAAACAATATATGCAAGGCAAATTAACAATAATAAAGGCAAAACAACAGTAATATGGCAAAAAGTTAACAGACTAAGAATTGGGGTTGACACACAAAAGCAATTTTGGATAAGCGAATAAAGCGTTTGGACTTAAAGCTAAGACAGATTGGGACTGAGTATATGAAACCGAATATCGGCTTATTTTATTGGCTAGGAAAAATCCCAGTATGCATTTGTGTGCTTCCGACTATAAACTGGGGAGGGGCAAATATTTTGCAATTATTCCTATGTGTTTTTTGTAGCCCCCCCTGTGAATATGTGGTATTGTGGTATATGTAGGATTGGATGGTGATGGATAATGAGCAAATTGTAATGGATGAATGAGTCGTGATTCTGATTAGTTAGGTTTATGATAATGTATACCAGTCTTTCCTTACAACCACTTTGGCCTTCTGCCACAACTGTTATCTTTATGACAGTAAATAATCCTTCCCATGGGGACTGAAAACAACAATCAGTATTTTTTTATTTATTAAAAAAGCGATTATCAAAGCATTTTGCCGCAATCGAAAAAAGCAAAACTTTCTCTAATGAAAACCAGATTCAAGATTTCGTTAAAAACATTTTTTCACGTGAAAACTCGTCGAAAAAGAGCTGCTTGATAAGTGGTAACAAGATTTTACAAATAATGGTGACTATAGAATTGAAGTTGATATCGTTACATTCACTTACATAGCCTTGGAAAAGATATAAATACTTCTCTTCTCATCCCAGCTATGGGTAAATAGAAGCTTGGGTGGCAGCCTGTGTAGGAGAAGGACAATTCTGAATTCAAAACCTCCAACTATGGGTTAAATAGCCTCACCAACCCGTAAATTGGCCAAACGTCGTGAGTATAGCTACACCGCTAAAGAGATGGTCAATCAGGGTGTGATTACTCCAAGGAGTGAGAATGCCTTGGGTCTGGGTCTGTTCTAGTGAACTTTCATCCCTGGTACGTTTATATAATTGAATAAAATGTAATTGTACTTTTTTTACGAATAAAGTTGATATTGAAAAACGTGAATTATTTATAATCAATACTAATATAAATGGTCTACCACATGAAAGCTTCAAAAGCAAAAATAGCAAATATAGAACAGAAATGATATGCAAAATTATTGATTAGCTCTAGATTTAAAGATACTTGTACTATATATATATATATATATATATATATATATATATATATATATTTCATAAAAATTGTTGCCTTTGCAAGAAAATTATTATCCTATTAATCATATTATATATGATTATTCTCCTAATAAATTAATTCATATTTTGCTTTCCCTACAGTTTTCATACATTTACCTGACCTGTAAGAATGCCCCGTGAATGCGAGAACAAATTCCATGTCTTCTGCTCTGTGTGTGGCGAAGTGACTTTTGCATCTCAAAAACAAAATACGGTATAAGGACAGTTATCAGAAAAGTTTGCCAAATATATTTTGGAAGCAAAACTGGAAACGAAGAGAAAAAGTGCGAACCACACATATGCTGTAATACCTGGGTAAGGAATCTCAGTCAATGGCTAGCCAGGAAGAA